GCCGGGGACCGGGCGGGCAGCCAGGAGTCCACGCGTGCTCGTAACTGCACAGAGGCGCCGCGAGGCGGGCGGGTGGCTCACGACCGATCGGCCTGAGCGAGGAGGACGGCTGGCAGCTCCTGGTTTAGGAGAAGTGACCCGCCCAAGCGTGAGTACCGTCCCAAAAAGCTAGTTAGGATTGCTGGCGGAGGCTCTCACTCGGATGACATGTGGAAGCCACCAGCCACAGCGCCTGGTACCTAGTGGGCACTCAGTGATGCTCGTTAATATTCATCAGCATACTCAGGTGTCCCACACAGGATCCCTTTTCCTCTTTGGAGACCTCCGTCTGCCCCCGTCCTGCCCGCCACAAAGGTCCTCGGTGATTAGCCAGGTTGGGAAGAAAGGTGCTTGACGGCAGAGCGTGTCATACCTCACCCGAGCAACCCCGGTCTCGTGACGAGGACAGGGACTTGACGCCGTGCCCGGGGACGCTGCATCCTTGGCGGCTGGTGCACGGAGCAGTGAGAAGCGGGGATTCACTCCAGGGGCTCGCGCGCCCGCTTCGTCCACGGAGTGCAGATCCGGTTTCAGCTTATGATGATTTATGAATCGCTTCATGTCGAATGCTAGTCACACGGAGCCCTTAATGGAGAATAGCAAACAAATAAATATGCTCTTGAAATGACAATAATTATCTTAAATTACGTTATTAATTTTACCATTAGCACTCAGACATAGTTTAAACTGTGCCGGACAGCAGGTTAAACATGTGACATGGAAGACATAACAACGCCCACAATCATCCTATGCATTATGTACTATTATTAATGCGCATTCCGTAAGGGAGCAAATCCACGCTTGTAACCACTATAGCTGATACACGGGAGAGTTGCTCTCTGCCCCACACTGGATTAACAGTGTTCTCTTAGGACAGATTCGCAATTTCGATTATTGCATTATTTACACAGGCCGGCCTACATTGGAAAAAAAAATAACTTGCATTCAAAAGCTGAAGCTCACTGCTAAAGTAATTTCATCTGTTGTTGATTCCAGATCTTTCCACCCACGGCTCATTTGGGGTGACTTCAGAAAAGAGAGGGTGTGAAATCTGAAGCAATTCACTTAGCGGCTTCATAAGTAATTCCCAACAAAATGGGAACTTTTCATTAAAATGCGTATGCATTTTTTTTTTATTACCAACAGAATAAAGTCATGTATGTGATGTAATAATTATAAGGATTCTTAAGTAAGGCAAATTGGGTAAAATCGTTAAATTTAATGGAGATTTAGAATTAAATATATGGGTTTATTTTTTTCTGATTTATTTATTTTTTATGGTGACATTGGTTAACAAAATCCGACCTCTTTCACCCTGTCTACCTCCCCCGACCCTCTAGTAGCCACTAGTCCATTGTCCACGTCCATGTGCATTTTATGTCACCTGCATTTTACGTTTATCCTCTCCAGCATTACCAGTGGGAACCAAGAGGGTCATGGCATTCTTGTTCAGCAGAGATGTCACAAATCTCTGCATTTAAATGGTAACTGTGAAATCTTAGAGAACCGCTTTATTTTTTCCCCATTAGAAATTTGTTAATAGGAAATGTAGCCATAAAATGCATTTGATAAGACTTTTAAATTTGATTTTTAAACATTTGGGGATTTTTTGGTAGTGTAGTTGCTTTGAGAATTCTAAAATATCTAAACTATAAAATGTAATATCCTGAAGTAATCCAGCATATCATACAATTCAATCAAACAGACAGAAAGTAACCTAACAGGCATTGCAACCCAGACATTCAGAATCTATCCGTCAAGTCTTTTTGGTTGAAAGCGGCAGGAATATAACTCAAATAGGCTTAAGTCAAAAAGAATTATTGACTCACTGAAATGTTCAGAGAGAGATTCTTGGCATCCGCCGTGCCTCGATCTCGGCGTGCGAAGAATTCCAAGTTCCTTTCCTTTGTGTGAGCTTTGGCTTTCAAAGACGCTCTCTCCTTTTGGGGAACTCATTGCCTAGATGCTCAAGTTATATATCGCACTGTCTGGGCAGAGCCCCGCGAGCAGATGTCCTCCTAGAAGCTCTTCCAAAGGCATTCCCAGAATCCAGTCTGGCCGTCTCCGACTGGGTAGCCTTGCTTCCCAGGGCTGACCGGTCACAGTGGCTGCAATGCACGAGTCTCTGAAGGCAAGACCTGCATCAGGTGCTCTGTCCCGAAGCCATAGATGTAGCCAGTCCAGTTCCAAGAAAGAGTCAGCTACAGCAGCTTGAAAGGGGTCGCCACAGAGCAGGGCAGATGCTGACGTCTGGGGGCTGGGCAGGCTCAGGGACCAGAGCAGGGTGTATATGTGTGTGGGGGGGTTGGAGGGGAGGGGGGGAGACTGACGTTTTCTGCAGACTGTTCCCATTGAGAAGGTATATCTGCAGAGGATATGCCATTTCATACTTCAAGGGAAAGCACTTGTTCAGAGAGACTTAAGTGTCATCGCTGAGTTCTTTTTTGGGAAAAGTTGAGAGAGTTGGGATTGGTGGGACTTATTCTTTTGGCTCCCACTTAATCGGAGGGTCTTATGAAAGCCATAGGGCCTGTATCACCTGTGATTAAACACGTAGCTTCAGAGGACAAAGAAACCTGAGGAAAAAAATCCCGGCTCTGTCACCTTTAGTTACAGGAAAAATAAATGAAATGCTACGTACACTTTATACACATATATAGTACCTGGCACACGGTGTGTGGTTAAGAATTGGTATCTATTTGTTACGATATTGTCGATATTGTCGCAATTATTGCTACTGAATATCAAAGTCTTCTATTACTGGTTCAGAGATTTAGAGATTTATGTTAAAAATTGACCTCTGTCTTCATAATCGAAACGAAACACTAGGATATAACTAGGGGAAAAAGACTCTTTACTGAAATTATCTTTTGTCTGAATGCTTGAGATTAAAAGCTTTTTCAGTTGGATACTTCACATGTGTTTGTCATAAACCTCAGAGATACTGTCATAAAAAGACGACAAAAGGTCATGCATTTAGACAAGTATCGGAGCCTCTATTTTTGTCTGTAAATAAAAGTTTTTAGTTTTTTTTTTATTACACAGGTAATACATACCCACTGTAGGAAAATAATAAAAAAATAGAAAATAGGCAATAAAAAGCATTCGTATGCTCGTCACCCACAGGTGGCTATGTTTCGTATATTCACATATGCACTCCCTGTATCTTTAAAAATTAGGTAATTCTACATATACTATAAAATTCACCAGATTTGATGAAGATCCTCTGTGTGAACAAATTTTATTCTCGAACTCCATTTTTATTTCGTATTCGTTTGGTATCTCATAAAATGAACAAGAAAACCTGTTATCTGAGGTCAATCGTTGGCAGGAATATGCCATTTTACTAAAATGTCAAACTCAATTCGTGGCAAGCGGCAAGTCTTTTTAAAAGGAGAGAAACTAAATTTATCAGGATAATGATTTTATTTTGTGTTAACAAAACGCGAGTTGTGTTTGTAACCAGAGGCTAATTCTGAGACCAACAGATGAAGTCATACGCTGATTGGGGGTGTGTTTTCTGACAAATGCGTGTGAGCGCGTCTGATTTTCTACACGGTGCGTGTCTTCGATGTGCACGAAAGGATCAAAATTGTTTGCCAATAGACAGTCCCTCGGGCTCTCTCGGTTTCTTGTGCACTGGCAGCTGCCATCAGCCATCGTCTTCTGCAGTTGCTTACAGCTCAGTCTCTAAAACCCTCGGCGGCCACTCGGCGTGAGATTTGATGCTTCTCCCACGTTACTTCTGTTGACTCGGAGAAAGCTGGCATCTCCCGCAAGGTTTACAATATGTCATCGCAGGATGATTTTATTATTATTGTTAAAAATATATGTGAAACAGGACTATTTCGATCATCTGGCAACCTGTAAGGGAATGAAGAAGCAACTTGACGGTAGGGAGGAAACCGCGGTCCTGCAAATAGATTGGAGGTTGATTTAACAAGTGATTAGTTTATTAAGGAAGAGTCTCCTGGCATAATTTTATGGATAGCTTGTGTCTCTTTATTAGTTCCCTATAAAAGCGAGGCCTTCTAAACCACAACTCCGTCCCTTATGGTTAGATACATTAAGCTCCACATATTATAAAATACGCTTCTGCTATTTTAAAAGATCGTCATATTAAACCAAAGGTATTAGGTATAAGAGAGGAAGCTAAATTCCTGTAAATAAAGGCACTCTTTACCAATTGCAACGACAGGCAGGGTACGCTGTAAAGTCATCTTTCATGTTATTGTTGTTTTTCTCTCTCTTTTTTAGACAGGCTGTAAACGAGCGCTTTTTCTGAGGGCCACAGAGCCCGTGCTCTAGACTCACCCGGGTCCCTTGCCATACTGGTGCCCTTGGTGATCTGGTGTCCCCGCCGCGTGTCTTCAGCTGTGGACTAGCACAATTCAGCCGTGAGGGGATCTGTAGTTTTGTCTTAGGCTCTATAAATATAGGAAGAGCTTGCTTCCTCTTCAACGTCACGTCCTCCAAAGAATATCCTGAGCAACATATTTAAATTCATATAATCTTGTTACTGTCTCTGCAGTAAACAACTTCCTTTGTTTCTTTGTCGCAATTTACCAACATGTTAGTTTTTATTATTTGGTTATTGTACGTTGCTCCACTAGTCTGTCAGCCATGGGAGGGCAGAGAACATGTCTATTTTATTCACCAATCTGTTTCCTGGTCATTGCCCTGTGACTCGCACGTGGCAGGCACTGAACGAGGTGTAAATTGCTGAATGAGTGAATGGTGATAGATGAGTAGATTTTTTTTTTCCTTGAGAGTTATTTTTAAGGACACACTTGTTGTGTCCTGCTGTCACAAAGACAAAACCGGATTGTATTCTAATGAGGTGTAACTGTTCAGCCCAGTCCCCGAAATTAGTTGGAGGAGGTTGGATGGAAGCCCGTTGCCAGGGAAAGTCAAGTACAGCAAATCCCAGGCTGCCCTTGAAATCCCGAACTTTCAACAGGAAGACGAAGGCTTCTACGAATGCGTTGCAGGCAACCTTCGCGGGAGAGACCTCTCAAAGGGTCAGCTCATCTTCTACGGTGAGCTAACGGGGTTTCGGAAGCACGCAGACTGTTTGGGACTGTCCTCCACAGGAAACCGTGAAGGTCATTAGCGTGCTGTGGGAAAGTGTCCTGGGAGAGAGAGGGAACCTCGCTTCCAGCGTAGGATGCTTAATAAGGGTGGTTAGCTGGCGGGAATAACCATTTTTAAAATACGGGTTTAATTTCAGCATGGTCTATGCATGGTATTGTTTATTACAATTGCCTTGAAAATATCAGCCATGTCATGTAAAAGCCATAAAAGTTGATAATCCAGAGTAGCAGGGAATCTGCTTATTTCCCATAAAGCGTTCAGCAACAGCCCAGGCCAATCTTGATTATAATTCTAAGTAGAATTTACGGAAGAGGGAGAAAATGGCCGAAGCATAATACCGTATAGTAATTTTCAGTATTTTTTTCCTAGTTCCCAGATTTTGTCTACTCCGGTGTAGGCAACAGAAAACTAAAATCATACCTCATTTAAAATATATGTTTCCCTCAATTACCAGAAGCTCTCATGGCCTTATGAGAGATGATGAAAGCATATCTTTTCTAAAAGTCTTTATGCCCGCTTTCATCCAGGCCAAAATACAACACTAGCATAAAATTTGCTTCTTTTTTTATGTCAAAGAAACTATAAAATATTCCCTAGAATTCTCAAAATATCTGGTGCTTTTAAAATATTCTTAATTTCTTTGCTAAATTTAATATATCTGTACTGGATAACTTTTTAAAAGAGTAATTTATACTTGGCCAAGTTATTTTTCTATATGACATGTCTATATGTGACACGTTTATAATCAATGGTATAGTAATTGGAGAAAAAAATACATCTTTCGATAACTTGTAAAGTCTAAGATATTGTAATGACGTCATAAGGTATTGTAATGACGTCATAAAATGCTTCTTGGGTGTCCTGCGGGGGGGTACATACTGTGCTTTAGTTATGTTATTTCCATTTCCTTTAGAATTTTCCATTTTAACCCAGAATGAAAACTTCTACTCTATATAGAGAACATGATTTCCTCCGGATTATGCCCCTACAGAGCAGCCACGCTAACCAGTGTGTAGACATGCGCATTTATATATTGATTCTTTGCAGTAGCTCCCGCTTTTTAAAGGGAAGCCTCTGGAATTTGAAATCTTTTCTTAAAACACAGTGAGGATGTAACTGAGGCTTTTTTAGTGGCGCAAAGATATTAAAGGCTTTGGCTAGTTTGTAATAGATACCTCATTTTTCTATTAAATAGACAAAGATATAACCGTGAGATTAACTAGAAAATGGAGGTAGCTATAAACTGAAAATCAATAATAAAGTGCTTTCTCCCACATTGATACAAAGGTTGGCTTACGTAGACGTCTTCACGAACACCACTTCATACAGTTCTTACGATAATAAGGTGTAGAAACACTTTTCAGTGATATTATGGGCGAGAAACCGCAGATGAACCAGGCAAGGTCGCACAGGCATTTGCCAGGCCCCAGGCAAGGGCTCTGAGCCGTCTCTGTAACCTGGACCCCACCCACCACACCTGAGCCTGTCCGCCTAAGCCTGCCCGCGTGGCACTACACTGCAGCCAAACCAGTGTGAGAGCGTCTCATCCACTCCCCCAAACGCGTCCACGGCCAAGGTCAGGGTGACCACGCTTTCCGCTCAAGCAGGAGCCTCACACCAGCCACAGCAGCTGCTCTGGTTAGGGCATAGGGCCCGGGGTTAAGCCAGGTCCTGAACCCACACATGGCTTCAGAAGTTCTCACTCCCTGTCAAGGGCTTTATGGAGGGAAGAATGGATCATCGTCCCTCAAAGAGGCTCGTCTGGGTTTATCCTGCAAACCACTGACTGTGACTGTGCAGGATACAGATGCACCTGCTTCGGGCAGTTCAGAATGGGGAGAATCCACAGCCATTAGCCCCACGGGGTCCGGCCGTGGCATCTGTCATCCGTCTTCTGACCCGGCCCATGTGCTTCTAGTTAGCATGGAATGATTACCTGGCCTTGTCCAGCACTTGGGCCTTTTCCCACAACTCCCAAGGTGTTACATTTAGGTGCCTCGAAAGGACAAATGACATACACGTACCTTGTGCCAAAGGCCCACTGATATTTTCAACGCTATGTCTGTTTCCCCACGTTGAAGCTCCTGCATTTCTGGGTCCTCCAATCTCTGTGTGCGTGTGTGTGTGTGCGTGTGTGTGTGTGTGTGTGCGTGTGCTTGTGTGCGTGCGTGTGTGTTGCTGCTTAGCATGGAGCAGGATGTCCTGAGTGACTGACTTGCCAAATAATTGCTCTTTGTCCCTTTTTGAGACAGCTCCTCCAGAATGGGAACGACAAATTCAGAATACGTACCTGTCTATCTATGACAGCTTGTTCTGGGAATGCAAAGCTAGCGGAAAGCCCAGCCCCAGGTACACCTGGTTCAAGAACGGTGAACTCCTCCGGCCAGGGGTAAGCACTGTCGATGTTAAAGCTCCCCCCCCTGCTGGGGACCTTTTGCTCCTGGCAACAAGAGCTAATGTTCGTGGAGTGTTTAGCAGCCACCAGGGAATGTGG